AGAGAGAGAGAGAGAGAGAGAGAGAGAGAGAGAGAGAGAGAGAGAGAAGAGTCACGCTTATTTATTTCGTATCTTCTTGTCGTCTTCCGCAATATCAATTTACACCCTCATATTTTTCATTGATGACTTCGATTTTCCCGTAAAACATATATATGCAACGAGCACGAACAGTGTAACTCTATCTATCTCTTTGTCAGTCTTTCTCCCTCCCTCTCTCTCTGTCTTTCACTTGTCAACCTTCAGTTAAATTACTCCACATTCAGCAGTAGCGTTATTCTCGTCATTCGAATTACAAAAATAGCGACGTGAGAAGAACGTGTTTTAAATGAAATGACGAAAAATAAATAGTGCAAAAGTAAAAAAACGGCAATAACAACAACAACAACAACAACAAATAATAACACCAACAGACCACAAGTATAAAAATCCATAGAAAGTAACACGCAGAGTGTCTCACTGTGTGTAAGCACAGTGGCACATACAGACGCCCTTAGGTACCACCGAATAGTGTATGTTTTTAGCAAGGGCTTACATTTTATTTTTCGAAGGCTAAAACGAGAGTTCAAAGCGTTATTTATAGTTATTGAATTAATGTCCCTATTTCAGAGCGGATGAATTCAGCTTTTGTCACTCATTGATTTTTTTCTTTAAATTTGTAAAATAAATTCATTCGATTTGCTTTGGCACATATTTTTTTCCTACTCTTTATCTCTCGCACACCATCTTTCGTTCTCTCTTTTACATGGATTGTGATACAAATTGTTCAATCTTTGTGCACATTCTGCCACTTCATTTCCGTTTTCAATTTAAACCTAATGCATTTATTAATTCATGCTGACGACGACCACAACCACTACGACAATGATTATGACGATGATTTATGTATTCATTTGAATGCCTGACTTTTATGCGGTCCGAGATGAGATGATTTCTACTTTGCATTTCATTCGAATGCTTTTTTTTTTGCATGATTCTGGATGATGGTGGGTCATTGTGATTCATCACATTCAATTGACGGTGGCCCAAATGAAAAATATCTTATTTTACTATGCGATTTATTTTTCAAGAAGTAATAAAAAAAAGAAGCAAAAAATAAAGGCTGACGGCGCCTGTTTGTTATGCTTCATCATTTGAACAATATACTGTGTTTCGTGAATTTATCATTCACTCTATTTCCATTCATGACGTGAACAAAGCAAATATTTTGCCTTTTTCTCTTATGCTTCTTCATCGGCGACATTGAGTATGCATTCAAAATTCCCTTTTTCATGTAAACACTTAATTCAATTTAAATATTGTCGCTTTTTTCATGCGCCTCAACATTTTATTATTCACTTTAGTTTTGCGACTAGGCCACACATTTCCATAATTCTAAATGCGAAACAGTGGCATCCCATTTGGATTTTTACAAATGGTTTTTTGTTTATTTTCGTTTGCTCTCTATCTCTCGCTCCCAACTATTTTCGCTGCATAAGGACTTTACTTTATTGAATTTTTCTTTCGACTAGTATTAATGCTGCTGCTGCTGCTAAGTGTCACATTTTGGCTGTCAATTTAGAAACGGAAAATTACCTAACGTGTACACGATGGAAACATACAAATATTATTTACAGTGTGTTGTTTTTTTTCTTCTTTATCTTTCTCTCACTTGTTTTTTTTTTTTGTATTTTATTTTGAATGGATCGAAATGTCGCGGCACGATTTTCTCGAATAACCTATGATATTTTTCATAAACTTTTTTTTCACTTCACTTTACCCGTTCAAACACTTTTATTAAAACTTTTCTGTTGCTCTCTGTCTCTTTTTCTGCGATTCTATTTTTCTTTCTGAACGGTTTTATTTTTATACACACACGCACGCACTCACGCACCTGTCTTTTAACTTTTTGTCTTGACTGTGACTTGCTTATACTCTGTATTTTATTGTTGTTGTTTATTTAATTTGTATTTTAGTTTTATCGCAATATAAATTCTATATAACAAACGCTCTTATTTAATTAATGAAATGTGTTAACGTGTATAATGATAGAGAAAGTGTGTGGCTGAGGTGAAGGCGCGTTCTTATCAAACCAACATTATTCCTATGACTGACTGACAAACGTCGAAAACAACGTATATTTTTCCAACTTGAAACCATTTCTCCTCAACAAGCATTCGACTAACACTCTCACTCATTCACTCACTCTTTTTCTCTCTCTCTCTCTTTTTCTATTCTTGTAGTTCGGTGTATTTTACTTACTAAATAGCAAAAGCATAGACATTGCATGCTTTTCCATGTGCGCACACACACACACAAATCATTTCCCTTGTTCTCATACTTCGTATGTATTTGTCGAAATATACTTTGTGCGCGTGTGTATACATGTGCTATGCTATTTTTCAACATTTTCCATCAAATGTGTATTGTGCTTGAGAACGAGCGAGTGGTGCGATCAAAGGATGATTTTTTTTCATTTTATATACAATAAAAGTGTTGGATATGAATGCTTTAATTAGACTGGATGTGATAAGAAATGGAAAATTTCCAGATCAACATAAAGCCAGACCGAAGAATTTCCATTTTTTCCCATTGAATTTGATAAAAAAAAAACAGTCACGTTTAATTTTGAGTTTTCCATACATTAGTTTTTGAGCTTCTTTTGAGCCTCTTTTGAGCCAGTCTAATTTACATACAATGTTTCGTTGTAATCATTAAAGAGCGTTTGGCATGTATGTGTGGTTGTGTATTTGTACCATTAACTTGTAATATTTGTATGACGAATAAGAGGGACACATTGTCCTCATTGTGTTACATGATATTAAATTGTGTTTGTGTTGTCTGCGTGTGTATGATTGTTGCCTTGAGCTTGCGTACAGATCACGTTTTGAATGCACCGACCGATTCAGATATCTCGCAAACGTAGGGTAAATCGGCTATATTGATTGGTGGTATATTCCCGTTGGATTTCAAGCTAATTTTCAACATAATTAATTAACTATAGTATGCTGGAAAACACGAACGTTTCTTTTGATCGCAGTGTTGTTGTTTTTTTTTTTTTTTTGAAAAAACAAAAAAACACTGCGTTTTAAGAAATGAATAAAATGACTAAACATTATTTGTTGTATATTTTAATATGATTGAATTGGTTAGTGGATGCGCTTATTGCTTGTCATTACAATGTTCCGGTCGCATGTGGATAATATATGGTTGTTGTTTGTTTGTTTTTTCTTTGTTCACTGTGCTTTCCATTCCCGTTCATCATATGCATCGTATGTAAATCATTGTAGTTGGTTGCTATTGTGATCTTTCATGCTCGATTGATTTAGTATTCAATGAACTTTATGAGAGTTTTAGCATTTAAATAATGCTCACATGCTTTGATGGCATAGAGTACCTTACACACAACCATACAAAAAGACAATTCGGCATCCTTTGCATACAAAAAAGAAATTTTCCGAATACAAGAGCACTAGTCGAAGAGCATATTTTTATCCTTTTCCGAAGTCACTCTCATCTTCACACTGTCACACTGCTGCACACCCGATGCCGAGAAGTGTGTTTTTTGAATAAGTTCGCTTCGAGGTGGAAAAACGCTTCAATGCAATGTACGTATAGGATTGGCATTAATAAATACGATATCAATGTGATCGGAATACACAATTCATATGATGCTACAATTTAGTTTGACGTCATGGTCCGAACGCGCGTGAATGAAAGCAGAATGAAAGACGCAAGTGATAAGCACAACAAGCGAAAGATAGAAATTGGAAGCAAAAAGATCTCAGAATGCATTTGGGGTGCCTGTATGAAAGCACTCATCCGTTTCGTCGGTTAGATTGTGTGTCCGTAAAATGGTAAAACATAAATTTTCGCAGCTATTTAACTCGCAGCTTTTTAACCACTCACCCAAAAATATTTTCCAGTCACCTGAGCCACACAACTCGCACACACACACCGTATATATTTATGTAAAAAGTGGATTTGCTTAAGCTTATTTGTTTGCTGAAAATAGGTTTCGAACAATATTCACTGAAAGAGGAAGAAAAGGGGAAAAAAATAAGCGAAATGAGCAGTTCCAAATGTCCATTTTCTTTCGAACTTAAGCTTTGTATGAAAACCATTGAGCATCAAGGCAGTAAATCAATCTGTTATTATCAGGCGGCCTGATTCAGGCCAACATAAAATATTTATAAAAAAAACTGATTACACTCAAAAAATTGCGGGAAAAAATCTCTTTTTTTTATGTGAATGAATATTTCATGATGCCCCGGTTATTATCGTACGCATATCGCATAAGCTATCAACTATTTTTCATTTCAAATGGGTATAATGAAATGAAGGAATGAAACGAACCGAAGATTAAAAGGACGCAGAAAAAAAATTAGATCTCGGCCTCTTCCCACAAATGTGTCGTATCCGCTTTACAGTGACCCACATTCACCCACTGTTGTAAGACAACTAATATGGGCCAATTTACAAATATTATTATTTAAAAAAAGAGAATATGGGTCATTCAAGAATACCAAATGCTCAATGGCCAAATAAAATCAGAATCGTTTTTTTTTTCTGCAGCAATGTTAGAATCGCTTTGACTTTGGAATTTAATATCGATATGATGTTTCCAGTTCAGGTCGTTGTTCTTGTCGGAAAAATGTAAGAACTAATAGATACGTTTAATTACATGTCAAAGTTCATTTAATCGACACTCGATTGACTCATTGTCTGGCAAATGGAGATTTATATATTGTTTTCGGTATTGTTCTAACACTGTTTGTGGATATTTGATATTGGATTTTTTTCATGCATATTTGGTAGATTGATGGGCATTGCTCTATATAAACTAACTATAACTATATATTGAGCCGCTCACGTTTTCCATTGAACAAAAAATCGACGCGTTGTGAATGAAAACAGTGGCTGCTCGTTTTATTTTCCTTTTATTTCGCTTTCTTTGCTTCTTAAAAACTTCATGAAAACTTATTAAAATGTTATGCTATTTTTATGTCTAACATGAATAGAAAAAGTTTTTAATTTTTTTTTAATTCCTGCAAGCTATATAAAATAAATATCGAAGAAACTATTAAGTCTTCTTAAAATCTAATCGAAATCAAAAGTTTAAAATCTTTTCCATAAATAAAGCTAATAGCCATCAAGTTTTATTGCTTTCGTTTTGTTTGAAGCGAACTTGTCCAAAGGATAATGTCCATGTTGGATTTCAAATCTTTTCATCAAAAAAACTATTCGGGAGATGATAGCTGTATGTATAAAATCAAAAAAAAAGGAAATATTCGCTATATTGGATTCCCGAGTGGAAAAAATTGTGACTGAGTGACCATTAGTCCCCAAATCCAACCATCCATCCACTATTAATGGATGGATAAATGGTTTTACGATGATAGATCATGGATGGAAAATGGATGATGAATGGACATTGAATGTTTGTATTTTAATTAATTCACTAGGGGTGAATCAGTATCGAAATTCCAACATGACCGAAAGTACTAACAAAAGTGTAAAGTCGAAATGGCTCTGCGAACATTTTTTTATATTCTAGATATTTTCGGTACTTGTCATTTATTTTGTATTTTGGATGAAATCAAATTCACATTTTGTTTTTAATTCGTAATTTATTTGAAGCTTGGAATGCAATATGAGCAGAATACATTGTTAAACTGTGAACACTTCGCTCTTGACCATATTTGCGTTATTTATCCCTTTGCATATCAACACATGTAGTTTCAATTAACACCAATTTTCAGCATAATGCGTACAACGAATAAAAATGAACGAATATCTTGCGAATGAGAAATTGTATATACATATTAAAAAAAACTATTGATCTGACTTAATGAAAATGAACAAATGAAGTAGTTGTGGATTGTAAAATGATATCGAAATCAATAAACCATTTAGCAATCATATTTAGTGTCATTTATATTATTGAAGTGTCCGGCATAATTTAAATATTTCATTTTAAGCGAACGAAATATTTCAAGAGTTTTTGAAATGCAAAAATAGCGTTCAACCCGTTCGATAAAATACGTACACAGGTTTTGGCATCTCGTATAAAATGTGATGCCGAGCACGGAACACTATGCACATACTCTATTCAAGGCATGTAGATATTTGGTGAAATATTTTGGATTACAAATTGTCTGCTGAAAATTGCTTTGAAGGAATGTTCCGCTAATTTGGTAAAAATCCAAGACAAAAACAAAAGCACGAACGGCAATAACAACAACAACAACGAACAAGAAAATGGAAAAAACAAAGGTCACACACACACACACCGAGACAGAGAGAAAGAGAGATGCGGAAAACAAAAACCACACAAAGTCAAGTGTAAGTGGATGTATGGATGGAAGAATGTTTTGATGAAGAAGGAGATGATGAAGGTGATAAAAGAAAAAGAGGAATGGAATGAACCGACAACATAGATAGAAAGATGAGAGACAAAAACCATGATGTTAAAAATAAAGAAGAATAAGTTATGTGCCATATATAGCTGAGAGTGTTTTCGACAAGTACCCACGTACATTTGTGCATTGTTTGGCGTATAGTGCCGGAGAGCAAAGTAATATGATACAATCGCATAATGAAAGGAAAATAACTAAGCAAGTAATCTTGAACCACTTAACAGAGAGCGCGCGCAAGAAAGAGAGAGAGAGTTGCACTTCTTTTCAGTTGTTTGGTCGCGCGCAATTCGACGGATGTTGGATGTTGGTCGTGTGGAGTGTGAGCTTTTTGATACAATCTAATGAAAAGCAGCAATGGCATCAAAAACCAATCGAAATGACATGACAGTCAGAGCAAATGTCGAATACAACCAAATGGATGAGCGAGACATATAGAAAGAGAGAGAGATATAGCGAAAAAAATCACCGTAAAAAATGTACAGTGGGCATTAGCGTTTTCTCTCGTGTTCTATGCCTGTTTACGTTATGCCACACATCTTTTCCACGAAACATTTTCGCCGAAAGCCGTCGATGATGTGCTTTTGAAGTGCAAGAGAGGGAGTGAGAGCATGTCGATCGATAATTCTTTTATGTGCGCGTCTAGTTTTGTGTGAATTGACGGTAAAGCGCAACCATTA